AAAAAAAAAAAAATCCATAAATCCATAATCCCACCACCCAAAGATATTGTTTTTAAAAAAGGGAACTCTCAGATAAGGCATTATAGATGGTACTGTTCTGATAATTCCTGCAGAATGACAAAATGTGATCTGTATGTCATATAATATATACAGAAATATATGTTAACACAAGAACCACATATGTAAAATTATAAAAATATTAGAAGGTATAGAGAAATATTTGTTTAACTTCTGAATGGAAAGCCTTATCTTTTTAAATTGTAAAATAAATGTAATGTAAATTTTGCCATTATAACTTTTTTTTTTTTTTTTTGTACCAGAGATTGAACCCAGGGGTGCTTAGTTATTGAGCCATGTCCCCAGCCCTTTTTATTTTTTACTTGGAAACATGATCTCACTAAGTTGCTTAGGTGTTGCTAAATTGCTGAGGCTGGCCTCAACTTGCAGTCCTTCTGCTTCAGCCTCCTGAGCCACTGGGATTAGAAGTGTATATCACTGTACCTGGCCATTATGACTATTTTTAAATATACAAATGAATAGTATTAAACACATTCACATTTTTGTATAACCAATCAATCATCTGATCTCTTTTTACTTGGCAAAACTGAAACTCTGTACCCATTAAACAACAATTCTAATGAGTAGGAACCTTTCTAGCCAAGATAGAAAAACAGATTCTCACAAGGTTACTTAACTATATCAGTTATATATATATTTTTAAATTGATGGCAAAACAAAAGAGATGAACTGGAAAAATACATATTCTATATGGTTAATATTTTTAATATGAAAACAACCCACATAAATCAACAAGAAAAAATAATAATAGGAGATCAGCAAAATTGCTGTATAATAGCATACAGAAGAGAAAATAAAAGTGACCTTTAACATTTAAAAATACATTTCAGGGCTGGGGATGTGGCTCAAGCGGTAGCGCACTCACCTGACATGCATGCAGCCCGGGTTCGATCCTCGGCACCACATACAAACAAAGATGTTGTGTCCACCGAAAACTGAAAAATAAATATTAAAAAAATAAAATAAAATAAAAATACACTTCATACCAGGCATGGTGACACCTACCTCTAATCCCAGTTATCTCAAAAGGTAAAAAGGCTTGGGAATGTAGTTCAGTGATAGAGCACCCCTGGGTTCAATCCCAGGTACAGCAAAAAATAAAAATAAAAATATACTTCACTAGAAGGTCTAGAAATTAATATTAAACAAAGTAATTATTTGAGTTTAAAATATGTAAAACCCAAAATAAAATGTATACTTCTATAATTTATAAATAAAATGCCCCACTTCTAGGAATCTATGCTGTACAAATAAATACTAGTATGTAAAAATATACATAAGAATGCTTACCATAAACTGATAATGTTGCCAGAAAAAAAGGAATACAGCCTAATTCCATCTGAAGGGGAATGAATGATTGACTAGATTATAATACAACTATACTGGCTAATATTTTGAAACACACTTCTCCCCTGTCCCTAAAATAAAGAACACGTCACTACCAGGATGCCTCAGTTTTAGTGATGTGGGTTTTTTCTCCACATTGTTCTTGTCAGATATCCTAGGCACACTTCTCTCATTAAAAAATAAATAAATAAATAAATATTTACCTTTGAGGTGTTCACAAAAAGCAAAGGGAGATCAGTAGAAGAGAAGAAAGGGACCACAAGGGGAGAGGGCCATCAAGTGGTGCATGCCTGTAATCCTAGCAAGTCAGGAGGACAGGAGGATCACAAGATTGAGGCCAGCCTCAGTGTCTTGGTAAGACTCTGATCAACTCAGCAAGACCCTGTCTCAATAAAAAGGGCTGGATTTATAGCTTGGTAATAAAGCACCTCTGCAATCCATAAAAATACAAAAACAAAACCAAAAAAATACATTTATTGGCAAAAAACAATAAGCTTCCTTCCAGTTGACTCTTTTACATTTGTTTTACACATTAGTCAAATTGTTTTGTGTATTGGTCCCCAACTTAGGATCCAATGATATTTAACCCTTAGGAGTCCTTCCAGAGGAGACTTTCTAGGCAAAAAGCAAATAACAAAGGAAAGCATATTGGACTAAATAAAAACTCATATACAAATTTTAAAGCAAATTAGGAAAATAAGTTTGGCACTACCACAGTAAAGGGTTAAAACCATTTAAAGACTTGACTATACAGTTCAGAAAAGGACAAATATAATTGACTAGTAAATATAAAGGAAGAAAGTTAAACCTAATTAATAATAGTCTTTATTAGTAATAAAATAATAATGAAAACAGTTACTTTCCTACCAGAATATTAGCTATTAAAAAACAATATTCAGTGCTACAAAGCATTGAATGAGTTGGCCTTTTAATAGTGTTGGTGGGAGAATAAATTGGTATAGTCTCAAAAAGTCCTTTTCTATCAGAAGTCTTTTTCCAGTTCACATTTTTCACTCCAGCAATCCTTCAGTTTCTTTATTAAGAAAGTTGTCAGTACCTGGGAGATACAGCTTGGTGGTAGATTGTGTGCTTAGCATGCGTGTAGCCCTAGATTCAATCCGTAGCACCAAAACACAAAACAAAATATAACCAGGAAAAGTTTCATTTCCAAGGATATTTATATGTGATTATAACCCCTGAAATGCCTAAGAATATTATAACCATGTATTGAAACATTTTGTTAATATCTTTGGAAAGTGAAATAAAAACTGCAGAATAAATATATATGGTCCCATTTCTGTTTTATAAATATGTAGAAACACATCTGGAAGGAAATAATGTTACATTTTGATATGTCTTTGTACTGTGGAATTATGGGTAAATTTTTCATAATATAAAATAGTATTTCATCATATGAAACAAGCATAATGTTTGTTTTCCAAGTTTTTAGTGAAAATGTATTATACTGTATTAATAATTAGAAAAATAGTTTTTAAAAATCTTTTTAATGAGAGCATTAATCTTTTTAATGAGAGCATTAATTCACATATTAATTATGTGAAAGGGGAGGATGACTATATTAGTGCTTGAGTTGCTTTTTCTTAAAGATAACTTAGGAGGGGTGATTCATGCCAGTATCCCAGTGACTCAGGAAGATGAAGCAGGAGGATCACAAGTTGCAGGCCAGCCTTGGTAATTTAGTAAGAATGTCTCAAAAATAAAATGAAAAGGACTGGGAATATAACTCAGTGGTAGAGCGCCCCTGGTTTCAATCCCCAGTACTTCAGGAAAATAAAAGAAAGAAGAAAGAAATTACTTTATTACTAGTCTCTCAAAACACAGGATGAAGTCTTTCATAACAAAGATGTTTGGGATTAATGACCCTGGGGCCCAGTCCCCTGGAACCATAAATTCCCCAAGTGACTCACACTGACACTTCTTCCAAGTTCTGCTGTAGAAATATTGTTTACTGAGAAACCTTCAATTAACTGAAGTACTGTTAGTTCTTTGGGTTTTGTAACAATCCATTTCTTATCTGCTTCTGTGCCTCATCTTTCAAAAGCTTCCTCAATAAAATCATATCAAGACAGTTTTTTTTTAATCTAGGAATTACATAAAGCAACAAAATAACAGTTGAAAAATCAGTGGAATAGAAAAATAGTTTTTAAAAATCTTTTTAATGAGAGCATTAATCTTTTTTAAATCAGTGGAATTAAAATTTGCCAAGTGCAGGAAGTACTTCTCAGTTGTTGTAGCTATCTTCATTCCCTTCTACCTACAGATATCTTCACCTAGTGTAACATTCATCTACAAGAGGAAATGTGTTTAGTTAGAACAATCACTCTCACATTCTCTGTTCAGATCAGGAAGGGAAGAGGTGGGTTCGATTCTCAGCACCACATAAATATAAAATAAAGATATTGTGTCCAGCTAAAACTAAATAAATATTTTTTTAAAAAGGCAGATAGGTAGGGGAGATAGTGCTGCCATGGAATTTGGAGGCCAAGCTCAATGTCAGCCTCAGCAATGTAGCCAAGCCATGGAAGACACAAAGAACTTATGGTTCTGGCTTCTTCCAGCTTGAGGAAATTTTAGGCACATAAAAGTAGCTTAATATTAAAGGAACCTGCATTCAAATGCTTTGTTTTTCTAAGGAGCTGCCTACTAAAACCTACTTATTGACTCACTTTGGGGAAGAGTCTGCTTTATTTGGCAAGTACACAAGACAGGTGCCCTCTTAAAATATGAGGTTAATTCTGGGATTCATGTACCGATATATGAGTGTGTGGTAAGAAAAATTTTATAAACATTTATTAAAAAAATATCAGGAGGATATAATGATTTCCCATACCCATCACCCAGTTTCAACAATTAACAACTCATGGCCTAACTATTTTAAAGCAAATTCCAAACAGGATATAATTCTATGATAATATATGCTTCAGCATGTATCCTGAAAAGATGAGGAACCTTTTTTAAAAAAACACATCCAAATTATCAGTCTAAAAAACACATACGGTTCCTTATTATCATTAGATATCAAGTATATGTTTTTAATTTTTTTCCCCATAATCAATAGTTGTTTTAAGGGTTTTGGGGTTTGTTTGTTTGTTTTGTTTTTTTGTTTTTTTTGTTTTGTTTTGTTTTGGTGTTGTGGATTCAACCCAGGGGCATTTTACCATTGGACTATGTCCCTAGCCCTTTTTGGTTTTTATTTTGAGATAGGTTCTCGCTAAATTATTTAGGGCCTGCCTACATTGTTGAGGCTGACATTGAGCTTGGCCTCCAACTTGTGATCCTTCTGCCTCAGCTTCCTGAATAGCTTGGATTAGAGGTGTGCCACCACCATGACCACCTGTTGCCTGTTTTTGAACACTGAAATTGTTCAAATCAGGATCAGATAAAGTCCATACAGTGCAATGGTGTCCTATGTCTCTTTAGGTCTTTAAACCATAGATTTTTTTTTCCCCTCCTGCTTTGGTTTTTCCTTTGTTTGTTGACAAAACCAGGCTGTTTGACCTGTGAAATTTCCCTTATTCTGTATTTTGTTGATTACATCCTTATAAAATTATTTAACATGTTCTTCTTTCTCCTGTATTTTGTATAGACTGATGATTATACTGGAGGCTTGATAAGATTTAGGCTCAGTGTCTTGGAAAAATTACTTCACAGGTTGTAGTGTTTTTTTGTTTGTTTGTTTTCCTATTCATCAATCACATCAGGAAGCACACAGTGTCCAGTGATAATATATTAGCTTTTCACCTAATTACTGTAGCAGCCATTGATGATAATTATCAAATCCATAACTTCATCTGTCTTTCTTGTCAGCTTCAAAGTGTGCTACATTTGCTCTTTCAAGTCCAGGTTACTTATAAGATCTGCTTGGTCTCCTAAATGCCTTCCTAGTGATTGAATTGTCCAAAGCTCCACCAACTGTTCTCTCCATGAATTCTCATAGACTTTGCCCTTTGAAAAGAGCCAAGGTAGGAAATCTTTTATCAGAATAAGACCTTAGGGGAGAGGGGAGGAAATAAAGGCTGTCAGAATAGCTTCTTTGGGAAAATAGAAGGAATGACTTTCCTTTAAAAGCTTCATCTTTGGTAACCTCACAGTTTTGATGAATTGACAGAGAATGTGATCATATAGTTAGCCAAGTTGGAAAAATAAATGTTCGTGAAAAGAGATTTCTTAAATCTTGCCAGGCGCAGGGACTCCTGTCTGTAATCCCAGAAAAATAAATGTTCGTAAAAAGAGATTTCTTAAATCTTGCCAGGCGCAGGGACTCCTGTCTGTAATCCCAGAAAAATAAATGTTCGTAAAAAGAGATTTCTTAAATCTTGCCAGGCGCAGGGACTCCTGTCTGTAATCCCAGAGACTAAGGCAGGAGGATTGCAAGTTCAAGGCCCTAAGCAATTTAACGAGACCCTGCCTAAAAATAAAAATAAAAAAAAGGACAGGATACATGGCTCAGTGATTAAGTGCCCTTGGGTTCAATACCCAGTACCAATTACAAATAAAATCTTATCACTTGGTTTCTAAGCCTTAACCCTCACCATTTTTGTGACAAGGTTAAGAAAATGTTTTTTTCTTCATTAGAAAGAAATTTCCAATTTGGGTTTTCCAGGCTGAGGAGAGCAGGAAAGGAGCCTCCCAACTATATTTAGGACTCCAGTTACAATGTTAGCCAGAATCATCTAGCTATTTTGAAATGATGTAGTGGAATATTCCGGTTCACCTTCTGTAGTTTTAATGTCCAGAAACTTTCATTGCAGAAATTCAGGTTCTCAAGAGCTAGACTCTTAAGAAGAAATAGTTTCCCACTAAGCAACCCTGATTGCTGCTTTTGCTTACTTAAAACAAGATAACCTAGAGCTATGTATGCTTATTCTTCCCTGGGAGTAGTTACCGAGCCAAAGATGATGACATAACGTATTTTTTCTTTGTCCTTAGGAGCCAATGAAGTGCTTCTGGTGGTTGGCGGCTTTGGAAGCCAGCAGTCTCCCATTGATGTAGTAGAGAAATATGACCCCAAGACTCAGGAGTGGAGCTTTTTGCCAGTAAGTGGTAGTGGAACCATTCGTGGACAGAGAGCTTAAATGTCCTACATTCCTGACTTAAGATGATAACCAGTCTAGCCCACGAGTAGAAAAGCATAGTAGCCACATATGTTTCTTATTACAATGTTACACACACAGTAGGTACTCCATAAATGGAGTGTTTTGTTTATTTTTATTCTTTTGTGGTACTGGGGATCAAACCCAGAGCCTGACACATGGTAGGCAAGTGCCCTGCCACGGAGCTACACCTCAAGCCCCTCAATAAACAATTTAGGTTAGAAAATCAGAAGATTAAACTTCAGGAACATTGGTGTTCCTGTTTGAATTTAATTCAGCTGTCCACCATTATTTAGGTACCGCTGGTCATACTATATTAAATGTTTTAAATCAAACTTGTGTTCAATTGAACTCAAAAGCTTTGTATCTTTCATCCTCAGTATTTATTATTTCAGTACTGAAATATTTTCTGAGAAAACTTGGAAATCTTTTGATCAGTCCTTCCTTTTGTAATTTTGAATACTGGCCCTGTGATTGATTAGCAATGTGGGGATACTTTTCCACATTATAGAAGGATATCAGTCTCTTAGCCCAGTGCCTCTGAAGTCAATTACTTGGTGTAGTAGAAAGGCATGAAATCTCTTGGAAATCTTGGAACAAAGTAAATGTGCTTCTAGAAAGCACCACAGCAAAAATTCCATTCAGCATTCGGTCAGCTGGAGGCCACTTGAGGAGGAACCACTGCCTCAGGAAAAGTTCATGGTGACAGGTAAAAGAAGCAAAGAAGTGTATAATAAAGACAGAAAGGACAGCAAAATGTAAGGCCTAAAACTTGCCTGAATGAAATCCTCTGTACCTCTTCTTTCCCAAATCCATAGAGCATCACTCGTAAGAGACGTTATGTGGCCTCAGTGTCCCTACATGACCGGATCTATGTAATTGGTGGCTATGATGGCCGTTCCCGCCTCAGTTCAGTGGAATGTCTAGACTCCACAGCAGATGAGGATGGGGTCTGGTATTCTGTGGCCCCTATGAATGTCCGACGAGGTCTTGCTGGAGCTACCACCCTGGGAGGTAGGCTTGCTGTGCAGACCATGTTTCCATCTCACTGTAACTAGACCAGTGTATCAGCATTCTTACCTCTCCTGTTATATGGCAGGAATTATGGAGGATAAACTGGCAAGGTTAAATGTTTCTTTTTGGTTTTGGAACTGACAGTGTTACAGAAGCTGTTTGATATTTGTGGATCTTTCAATAATGACTCCAAAGTTGGTAATTCAAGTTCCATTGTGCTGGATGAGAACTAGCACTAGTTGTATTTCAGATTCCCAGGTAGTCTTTGAATGCTTTTAAGAATTTCATCTTACACCATTCTTTTTAAAGATCTTTTGCTGTGCTGTCTTCCTTATCTCGGAGACATAATTGACTTATCCCAGTTAAACACAACATTTTTGCTCCCAGACATGTGAAAAATCTGTGGGGAATTGTAAATAAAAGAATTCTTTGAAATCTCTCATTCTTTAATAGTCTGTAATTTGTTCATTCTGAACAGATATGATATACGTCTCTGGAGGCTTTGATGGAAGCCGACGTCACACCAGTATGGAGCGATATGACCCAAACATTGACCAGTGGAGCATGCTAGGAGATATGCAGACAGCTCGAGAGGGTGCTGGACTAGTAGTGGCCAGTGGAGTGATCTACTGTCTAGGTATTCAGCCTGGGATACAGGGATGGTTAGCAGACTCTAGGTAGAATTCCTTTTTATCCAAATTAAGTTCATAGACTTCCTTCCACAAGGAATGTTGGTCTGTCTCAATATATTTTCCATTAACTGGGATTATCTTTTTTTTTTTAATAAGCAAACAGTAGGGTAGTATTAGATTTCTGTTTGGGTTATTAGAACTCTGTGGGAGAATTGAAACTAAAAAAATTATGTGAAGCATTAAGGGAATGCTAACTGGGAATGGGCCTGAGGGTTTACCTTTCTTGTTGGAATGATCTCTACTTTATTTTCCAGGAGGATATGATGGCTTGAATATTTTAAATTCAGTTGAGAAATATGATCCACATACTGGACACTGGACTAATGTTACACCAATGGCTACCAAGCGTTCAGGTAAGACCAGTAGATTTGAGGGAGGAGGCAGGAAACAGTGCTGTCAAATCTTTACACATGCAGTATTAATGTACAGGACGGTATCAGTAAATCAGAGTTGCAATTCCTGTTTCCCTATAGACTTGTATGAGTTACATTCAAGTTTCTTCCTTGCCTCTTTTCTTTAAATATTATTGAGAAAAAGATAAACTTTCAACTAGATTATAAATTTGAGGGCAAAAGCTTTTTTGTTTTACTCATTTTAATGTCTTTATTCCCTTCCTACATGACAAAATATTTAATACAATTTTGTGTTGTTGTAATATATGTTAAATAAAACATCTAGTGTATAAGGACAGAACAATAGCTGTTTACCTTCACTGAGAGCTTTTTGAAATTGACTAGGCTAGGTACATAAGAAAAGAGAAAACACTACTCCTCCAGTTTTCTTCTGGATAAATATTGGACCATAACCAAAGTAATGACTCCTTTCTTTCCTCTCACCATTATTGCCCCTTCCTTGTTTTCTCCTACTGTGAAGAGATTGAGCTCTGAGTTAATGAAGATGAAGAAGAGAACCATTTCAAATTTTCTTTTATCATTCTAAGTCCTAGTCAGAGAGTTTACAGATGAGCCAGGCATAGCTATAATCATAGTAACTCTAAAGGTTGAGGCAGGAGGGGGCTGGGGATGTGGCTCAAGCAGTAGCGTGCTCGCGTGGAATGCGTGCGGCCCGGATTCCATCCTCAGCACCACATACAACCAAAGATGATGTTTCTGCCGAAAAACTAAAAAAAAAAATAAATATTAAAGTTTCTCTGTCTCTTTCTCTCTCCTCTCTCTCTCTCTTTAAAAAATAAATAAATAAATAAATAAAAATAAAGGTTGAGGGGCTGGGATGTGGCTCAAGCGGTAGCGCGCTCGCCTAGCATGCGTGCGGCCTGGGTTCGATCCTCAGCAGCACCACATACCAACAAAGATGTTGTGTCCGCCGAGAACTAAAATAAATAAATGTTAAAATTCTCTCTCTCTCTCTGTCTCCCTCTTTCACTCTTTCTTTAAAAAAAAATAAAAAATAAAAAAATAAAGGTTGAGGCAGGAGGATCACAAGTTCAAAGCCACTTGGAGCCATTTAGCAAGATCCTGCCTCAAAATAAAAAAATCAAGAAGAGGGTCTGGGAATGTAGCTTAGTGGTAGAGAGCTTAAGTTCAGTCCCTATACAGAAGGTGTGGAGGTTGGAGATATAAAAACCTGTACTGCCCTAGATTTTTTCTAGGCCTGTGTAGGGCATTTCCATATGCCTTGCCTACCCCAGAGCTCAGCTAGCCATTAATGACCATGTTTTGTTTCTAGAATTCAAATCCTAGGCACAATAACATTACTTGGCTAATACACTCTTTTTTTTCCCCAGGTGCTGGAGTAGCCCTTTTGAATGACCATATTTATGTGGTGGGGGGATTTGATGGCACAGCCCACCTTTCTTCAGTTGAAGCATACAACATTCGCACTGATTCCTGGACAACTGTCACTAGTATGACCACTCCGCGATGTTATGTAGGGGCCACAGTGCTTCGGGGGAGACTCTATGCAATTGCAGGGTAAGAATTTAGAAACCAGAATAGAATCCTGCATCCAGGGCAAGAGTCTCTGGGATCCAAACCCCATATTTGGGTGGAGACAATTTAGGTGGAGGAGATATCTCTAGTGATAACCCTAATGAAGGACTGATACATAATGCTCATTTCTTTTCTTTTGCTTTTCCCCACTCAGATATGATGGCAATTCCCTGCTGAGTAGCATTGAATGCTATGACCCAATCATCGACAGTTGGGAAGTAGTGACATCCATGGGAACCCAGCGCTGTGATGCTGGTGTGTGTGTTCTCCGAGAGAAATGACCATTGTTAGAGCACCATCCAGAGCTAGTGACCAGTCCAGAGGACAGATTATGGAAGAGTCAAGGATCCTTTCCAGAATATCTATTTCTCACTGTGTGCACAGAGTGATTACAAGCACCAGTGCAGTGATGATTGTACTTATTTGACCACACTCCCCCTCGCGCTGGTAATATCCCACACAAGGGTGTGAAACAGGTACCCGAGGGAAGAGAATGCACAGTGAATGGATGTGAGACCAGATAGCCTCTCCCTCTCGTCTGGGGAGCACTTTCTTATTATTTCTTTCTTACCATGTGCTTGGGAGTGTGTGTGTGTGTGTGTGTGTGTGTGTGTGCTGCCTCTTACATTGCAGAGAACTAAGGTGGATTACCATGTATTTGTGTGTGTGTGTGTGTGTGTGTGTGTGTGTGTGTGTGTGTGTGTGTATGTGTGCTGCCTCTTACATTGCAGAGAACTAAGGTGGATATGGCCTCTACATATAGACAGTATCCAGCCTAAATGATTGGAGGGATTCCAGCTTGAGTAAGCTTGGTAAAATCCAAGTCCAAGTCCCTCCTGCCCCCACCCCGGAACAAATACCTTTTCTAATCTACAAGGAGCTGAGGACTCCACAGTTCCATTCAGAAAAAAACAAAAGGGAGAGCCCTATCAAAACTTTAGGGGCCAAGGGAAGAGTTCTTTGTGACATCCCTTAGGGGAAAAGGTTTGGTATATCCAAACTGAGGTTAGAATAAGTGACATGAACTGAGTTTGATGGGATGTGAGTGAACCTACACTACCACTAAATATAACCTAGAAGACTGAGAAGGATATATTATTTGAAAGATCTTTTTATTACCCCAAGTTCTTTCTAAAAGTAAAGTGCTATACATCTTGGCACTGGAGACTGAGATAATACAGAATGAACAAATGTTGGAATGAGAGGAAATGGCTTAAATATACCTGGGGATAAACTAGAAGTACCTGTGATTTTACAATCATCTTATTCCCTGCCAGGGCTCTTGTAGCCATGGCAATGTTTATCTTGAAAGGGTGAAAGACTTTCTTTGTTGAATCAAATACTACTACATTATTACACTATTTATTTGGGGATGGGGTGGGGGGTAGCAGCAACCTGGTAGTTTAACTACCTGATTACTACCCCGTTCTTTTAAGGGCGCACTTCTGCTAAGAAGTGTTTTTTACTGCTGTGTTTGGTACATTTAGTCTTCTTCCTGCTATAAGTTTCCCTTACCTGTCTTTCGAGTGAATTTTATTCATCCCAGGACAGAATAATCAAGAACAACCAAAATTCTTGTTAGTTCCAGTACCTCTGCTCTCACCATTTCTGAGCTACCATTCAGACCTCTTCTGTGTCATAAAGTTGTAGCATTATGGGTATAGGAGTGTGGGAATGTGATAACTTAAAACAGGATGCACTTTCCCTTTGCTCTGGAATTCCACTTTTTCCTCTTTCTGAGTTGTATTGACCTACAGAATTAATTTCCTTTGTATTTTTTTAAGAAAATAAAAAAGTCAACTGTCTCAAATGCCTTTAAGAGAGTTTGTGTGGGCAGGGGATATAGCTCCGTGGCAGAACACTTACCTGTCATACATGAACTCTGGGTTCCATCCCCAGCACCATACACACACACATACATACATGTTTGTGGCTAATGAGCTCTGCCTTCAGACATTTTAAGGAATAGGCATACAGATCAGCTGTAGGTCCTGACTCTCTCTGTTCACCATGTGTGTGCCAACTAGCTCTGCAGTTTTTGTTAGAAAAGGGTAAGAAATAGCATTTTGGCCACAAAGTTCTCCAAACTGTTCAGTGTTAATCTGAATTTGTCGTATTCATTGGCCATTTTCCCACCTGGAGTTTACTTGAAACCAAAGGAAATAAAGAGGTGCAGTCTTGAACTTATTTAACACCCACTTGAATTTTTCAGTCACCCCAATCCTTTGTTGTGATAGGTTTTTGTTTTTGACATACTGGGAATTGAACCAGAGCCTCATGCATGCTAGGTAAGCACTCTACCACTGAACTACATCCCCAGCCCTTTTTATTTGATACTGAGACAAGATCTTGCCATTTTCCCAGGCTGGCCTCAAATTTGAGATTCTGCCTCAGCCTCTCAAGTAAACTGGGTACAGATGTGTACCACCACACACACCCACCCCAGTCCTTTTTCTGTTTACTTCAATTTACTGCACATGATGTAAACAGCTATGCAGAAGGCCTGCGAAACTGCAAAAATTTGGATGTTCTCAGAGCAAAAGGAAGTGCTTAAAAGGAAATCATTTTCACTACAGAGGCCTGCCAGCCTTTCTTTATCATATGGATTGACACATTGTAATTTTTGTTTTTATTATTGCTTTTTTGTTTTGTTTGATCTTTGGGGTTTTTGTTTTTGTTTCTGGGGTTGTGCCTGCTAACCACAGCCTGTGAAACCTGGCTCATCTTATCTCAGGAAGAGATCAAGGGGAAATTGCAGGTGAGGCAGAAATGGAGGTATAGGACTGATGGCTCTAGTACCAACTCCTGAATTCAGACCAAATTCAAAAATACATGAAGCCACCAAATTCATGTAAAACATGAAGCCGCAGCTGAATGTTCTACAGGAAATCAACATGTAAAACTCACTGCTCCTTTTCTACTTTATTCCCCAATTTTATACACCTTCACATTTTCTCACTTGTACACAAGGATCTCCCTAATTTGGTGGTTCCTCATTATTCTAGCTCCTATAACTAGTAGCCAGTCACCTACTTACTTAGCTAAGGAAAGCTTTCTCTTGTCTGTCATCACAGTAGACACCCAGTTAGTTTCTAAATTCTTACATTTCTTAGTTTCAGATCCATTCCCATATCTTCATTCTCTTCTACCAGACAGCTCAGGCCTTTATGCTGGATTCATGAGGTAATAATCTCCTGATGTCCTTACTACTACTCTTCTTCTGTTATCCGATTCCTTTATTCTGTGAAGCTCAGATATAATCATTACAGTACTTAACATATAAGAGATTATTGGTATATATTGTGGTTATTTCCAGCCTAAAATTCCATAGATTTCCATTTCCTATATTTTAAAGTTAAAATTCCTTAGTATGACATTAGACCCATGAGATCTAGTCCCATTCTACCTTCTCCCAGGGATAATGTGCTTCTGTCACTTGTCTATTTACCATTCCTAAATCTGCTTTAACCCTGGTTCGTGGATTATACTTTTCCCTCTAAAATCGGGCTTTCCTGATAATCCCAGTCGCCTCTTAATGCCTAGTTAAAAAGTCACCTAGGTAAAGCCCTTTCAACTCCCCAGACAAAAGTATTCCCCAGTCCATTTAGGGTATTTTGCTCCTTAATGTTTTTTATTACATGCCATTGGGTTCAAGTGTCTTCCTGTTCAGGTTATATTCACGTATACAGAGACCCTAATTGTACCTCAGGGTACAGCATCATGTCTGGTGTATTATTACTAAAAATGGAACTAATGAAAGCAGCAGCAGAAAACAGCAGGAGATGTTGGGCAGATTACTTTGTTCTCCCTGACCATTTCAGTAAATGTTACCTATTGTACTAGAATGTACTGAGATGTAACTAAGATGCAACTACTAAGTTGGAGATGTAAAGACTAATAATTGAGGTGATATAATATAGTATAATAAGAATAGTGATTTTAGAGCTGCATTCATTCTGTGGACTCTGGAAAGAAATTTCTGATCTTTGCCTTCCTAGTGTGCCAACCCCATAAGGAAACTGCAATGATTTAACAAGTTACAAAACCCACTAAAGCACGTTGCTTTGCTGCCTAGTAGTCACTATTATTACACCAGAGAGTAACAAAAACGTCCACGCATCTTTTCCAACACCAAAAAGACATTCATCTCTCTTAAGTTGCTTCCTACAAAAAAAGATAACATGGTTAGACCTTGCTGAAAGGGGAATTCGACCCGAATTTCCTCCACAGTATTCCCAATAATATCCCTATCCATTCGCAAGACGCTTACAATCGCAGAAAACTGAAGGGTAAGGCCATCCTTAATGCTTTGTCTAGATCTTAATACTAAAGGGAGCCTGGTCACCGGGTGGGTATGCGGAGTAAGGTTTTGACAATGGTCACAGGAGGTGTCCCTGTCACAAAGCCATGCTGACAGCCACCCGGGCTGGGCAATGAATGAGGGCGCTTGCGCAGCAGGTTACAGCGCGGTGGAAGCGGACGCCTGCGCAGAGGGGGTGATCGTGCGCTCGCGCCCCGCCTCTGCCGAGCCGCGCCAGCGCAGTCAAGTGCCAGCGAGCAGAAGCAGCGCCTGCGTGGTCGTGGCCGGGGAGGCTGTGGCGGCAGCGGCGATGGAGCCAGCGGAGCCCCCAAACGAATTGGTGTCAGCCGAGGGCCGAAACCGGAAGGCGGTGCTGTGCCAACGTTGTGGCTCTCGCGTGCTGCAGCCAGGGACCGCTCTCTTCTCCCGTCGACAGGTAGGAAGGCAGGTTAGAGGCCGCTTACATTGCAGTCTTCCACGGGCCGAAGCAGTCTGAGTCCCGGCTCTTGGATTTCCGGAGACCGCGCCCCTCCTCGCGCCGTTCTTAAGCCCCGCCCCACTGGCTCCTGGCGGCGAGGCTCCGCCCCTGCGGCCGTGTCCGGGGGAGCTGTGTGGGCCGCTTCCCCGGGACCGGTGAAGCCTTTGGGTGGAAGGACCTTCCCAGATCCTGCCGCAGGAGAGCTTCCTCTGCGCCAGCCTCCCCCAGGCGTCCCTCCCGAGCGCGGGCAACGCGCCCCTCCGAGCCCAGGGAGGTTTCCGCGTGCTAGTGCGAGGAGTGCTCCCCAGCCCGCTGCTTCCAGGAGCTCTGGCCAACCTGTGAGACCCGCAGGTGCATCTTTCAGTCGCCGATCTGTTGTCGCCCGGATCCTTACTCCACTGTATCTGGAGCTCCAGATACAACTTTGGTGTAGGGATACGCAGAATAATTCCTGGTACACAATTTTCCAGGGCACTACAAGCCAGTTTTGAGAAGAATCATTTCATGTGAGATAGATATCTGAAATTCTGGAAATAAATTTCGAAGGAAAACAAATAATTTTTCTTCAGATTAGGACTTTTAATACCCATCGTACCACCATCACTCCAAATGAGAAAGTTGATACATTTTTTTTTATTTTGGTAAACTTTTTATTAAAATGTAACATACCCTTAGGAAAGTGCAGGAGTATAATTTCATTGCAACCACATGCATATCCTATCATTCCAAATGATTTTTTAAAAATAACATAGACCAACTTATTATTTCATGCAGTTGAACTGATTGTAAAGTGCAGTTTTCAGTATAGTAGCAAGAAGCCCCTTTTCCTCCAAAGCAGAGAGCCTTTTTCATAAGAGAAGGAAAAAGGAATCAAACCCACCCCCGCCCCCATTCTGTGGGAGTTAGATGACTTCCCCTCTAGAGAGATTGGAGTCCCACCTGCTCTCTTGGGAAGACTCCCAAGGATTGGAAGTAGAGTTCTCGGCTTATTTTACCAAGTTAGTAGTATCACAGAGAGGTGGAAAGAACATGGGTCTCAAAATTAAATCCTTACCTTACCATTCATAAACATTGCCATGAGGGGCTGGGGTTGTAGCTCATTGGTAGATCGTTTGCCTGGCATATGTGAGGCACTGCATTTGATCCTCAGCACATAAAAATAAATAAAGGGCTGGGGTCGGCTCAGTAGCAGAGTGCTCATGTAGCACGCATGAGGCACTGGGTTCTATCCTCAGCACCACATACCAATAAATAAAATTAAAAATAAATAAAATAAAGATATTGTGTATATCTACAACTTAAAAAAAACAAAACCATGAACTTAAGATTTCTGGACTGAAAAATGAAGATGATGTAGGGAAGAATTTGTGTGAAAGCATTAGCATGGTACATACTGTATTCATATCCATTTCTTATGCTCTGAAAGTTGTCTACTTTTATAAACAGACATTAAGAAATTCCTGCTGGGCGTGATAGCACATGCCTATAATCCTATTAGCTTGGGAGGCTGAGAAAGGAGGATCACGAGTTCAAAGCCAGTCTCAGCAAAAAAGCTCGGTGCTAAGCAACTCACAGAGATCCTGTCTCTAAATAAAATACAAAATAAGGCTGAGGATGTGGCTCACTGGTTGAGTGCCCCTGAGCTAAATCCCCAGTATGAAAAAAAAATTTCTTTAGGTAGGCTGGGGTTGTAGCTCATTGGTAGTGCTTGCCTCCCATGTGTGAGGCATTGGGTTTGATTCTCAGCACCACATGAAAAACAAAGGTGTTGTGTCCATCTACAATTAAAAATATTTTTTATAAAATTCTTGGGTAATTTTATGTTTAAATTATTTTTTGTTTGATATATATTATTGTAAACTAGTGTTGCCAAACATTGTGTAAGCAAATTACATTATGCATGTTACATTTCTTTTTCACACAGAGTGGCTGCTGTTCTAGAAAGGAGCATAAGAATTGTTTTTTAGGTGTAATGCTCACCTCCACCACCCCTCTTTCTCTTCTCTTTTTTATTTTTATTTTTTCCCCTGCAGTACTAGGGATTGAACCCAGAGGGACTCTACTACACAGCTACATCTCCAATCCATTTTATTTTTTATTTTGAGTCAGGGTCTCCCAGGCTTTGAATTTTCAATCCTTTTGCCTCAGCCTCCTGAGTAGGTTGGTATTACAGGTGTACACCACCACACCTGGCTAATATTTTTCCCTTATTTTATTTTGGGATGCCTGGGGATTAAACTCAGGAGTACTTTACCAATGAGGTACATTGCTGGTCTCTTTTTTTGGAAATAGGTTCTTACTAAGTTACCCAGGTGAGCCTTGAACTTGCAGTCTTCCTGCCTCAACCTCCTAGGTCACTGGGATTACAAGCATGTGCCACCTCCCTCTTTTTAAAAAGACATAAAGAGATAGGGTTGTTTGTTTTGGTCTTTTGTTTTTGTCTATTAAGTTTGTGTTTTACCATTGCTTCAGAGTTTCTGGAAATTTCCTATTTCTTGAAAAAGGCTATTGGAAGAATATTATGCTTTCCCCAGACTCTAGCAGCCCTACTCTGATCCAACCCAGATCCCCCCTTGATTTTAGTACTATTTTTCAGTACTCCTTTCTTTCCACAAATAACATAAATTCTAGGATATGATGTGAACAGGAAGTTGAGATCTCATGGAAGATTTCTAACCAGTTATTACTTCTTCACCTATTATATGTTATATATTTCAGGGAAGAAGAAAAAAGTCCCTGCCCTTATAGAGAACAATTTGCAACTTGAAGGGCACTGCACTCCCTAACTGAAACCCTGTAAAGCTTTAGAAACCTTGAAGGGAGAAAAAAAAAAAAAAAGATCTAGGGTGCAGTAATTACTGCATCTCATATTCCATAGTTCTTTAGTCTAAAGCAATGTTTCCATAGTTATGTCCCTCAAAGGGAAAAATCTAGAGACATATCTAGAGATTTTTTTGGTTGTCCAAATTGGGGAGGGGTGCTACTGGCATCTAGCAAGTAGAAGCAAGAGATGCTGCTTAGCATCCTGTAACACCCAGGCCTGTTCCCAGAGCAAAGAAATCTTTAGTTCAAAATGTCAGTAGTTCCAACATTGAGAAATCCTGGCCTACAGACTGGAAAGCACTCACATCTATCATCTCAGTTGATCTTATTAAAATATTTGTTCTGTTTGCTGCTTATACACTAGACAATGAGGTCCATATCTCTACATCTTGTACAACTAGACTGTGCACATCAGTTAGAACCTAGGAAATGTTTGGATTTAAATAAATTAATGAATAAAAAGCTATGAGTCCAGCTAAATAATGTGTTAGTATGGATATAGTGGATCAGTATGTTTAGCCAGCACCAAAACTGCACTATTTATGTAGCATGTGATTTATGTTCTTTTTATTCATAGAATTGGTTTCACAAATAAAATATCCCTATCCCTTGAAAAGGACTAAGTTGACTAGTCCTTTTCCAAAATGCATAGGAATAGGAGTGTTTTATTTTTTTATCTTTTGCATTGCTAGCTATGAAACTCAGCCTCTTGCTTGCTAGGCAGGAGCTCTACCACTGAGGTACATCCTCATCCTAGGAGTGTTTTAGACTTCAGATTTTTTGGATTTGGAAATATTTGCAAATACATAATGAGATATCTTGGTGATGAGACCCAGGTTTAAACATGAAAATCTTTTGTTTAATATACACCTTTCCACATAGCCTAAAGGTAATTTTATGCAGTATTTTAGTACCTGTGTTTTGACTATGACCCATCAAATGAGGCCAGCTGTGGAATTTTCCACTTGTGGCATCATGTTGATGCTTCTAAAGCTTCAGATAGTGGAGCATTTCAGATCAGATTTTTGGTTTAGGGAACCTATATTTGTCATAGCCTTTCCTAAAGTTTTTAGTGGAGGAAGTTATAATTAAGCTGAGTAGAGTCAGGGTGAACAGCATTTTATAGCTGAGAGGAAGTATAGTACATCTGAAGAACTGAACATAGTCTGATAAAAGTGACAGAATCCAGGCACAGTGGCAAATGCTTATAATCCCCAGGGCACTGCAAAAGGAAAATCACAAGTTCAAGACCAGCCTCAGCAACTTAATGAGACTTGTCTCAAACAGGGCTGGGGAGCTGGGTGTAGTGGCGCACGCCTGTAATCCCAGTGGCTCCGAAGGCCAAGGCAGGAGGATCGAGAGTTCAAAGCCAGCCTCAGCAAAAGTGAGGTACTAAGCAACTCAGTGAGACCCTGTCCCTAAATAAAATACAAAATAGGGCTGGAGGTATGGCCCAGTGTTAGAGTGCCCCTGGGTTTAGTTCCCAGTCCTGGGGTGGAATGGTGGCAGGAAATGAGGCTGAAATGGAGTTAAGATAATTAGAATGGAGGTGGGGAGAGAGCCATGGGGGTGGACATCCATGAAGTGGATAGGATATGAATCAAAAGAAAGACTCATGCCAGGCATGGTGGTATATACCTGTAATCCCAGCAGCTCAGGAGGCTGAGGCAATTTAGTGACGCTCTAAGCAACTCAATGAGACCCTGTCACTAAAAATAATTAAGAAGTCTAAAGATGTGGCTCAGTGGTTAAGTGCCCCTGGGTTCAATCTCCATTATGAGGGGAAGGGGAAGGGGGAAGGGAGGGAAAAGAGAAAAAAAGGGAGGAAGGGAGGGAAGAAGGAAGAAATCTTAAAAGATTACATATTGTATGCTTCCTTTTACATAACATTTTCAAAATGACAAAGTTTTTCATAAGCAAAAATTTTGTGGTTGCCAGGGGATAGGAAATGGGGTAGGGGTACACTGAGTGTGATTATAAAAGAGCAGTGTGAGGGTCATTGAGGCAATGGAACTATTCACTGTCTTTCTGTGACAGTGGATATACAAACTTACATGTGATAAAATGGTATAGATAAATATGCCCATGCTGAGCATGGTGCCACTAGCTACCCAAGAGGCTGAGGCAGGATCACAGTTGATGCCAGCCTGGGCTGGGCAGCTTAGTGACCTGCTGTCTCAAAATTAAAAAGGGCTGGGGATGTAGCTCAGTGGTAGAGCAGCCCTGGGTTCAATCCCCAGTAATGGGAAGGGGAAAAAAAAACAAGAACTAAATACACAAGTGTACAAATGAGAAGTAACTGGTGTCATCTGAATAATTAAATCTATGGACTAATCTGTGTTTATATGCTGATTGGGATGTTGTGCAGTTTTGCAAACTGTTATCTTTAGGGGGAACCGGGTAAAAAGTACATGGAATTTCTGGGTTGTTTCTTTTTTAATTATTATTTATTTTCACTTACTTTTTTTTTTTTTTTTCAGTGCTGTGGATTGAACCCAGGGTCGCTTTACCACTGAGCTACACAATCCTAGCCCTTTTTTATTTTGAGTCAGGATCTTGCTAAATTGCCTAGGCTGGGGCTAGGACTGTAGCTCAGTGGTAGAGCACTCACCTTGCATGTGTGAGACCCTGGGTTTGATCCCAAGCACCAAATAAAAAATAAACAAATAAAGATATTGTGTCCATCTACAATTTTAAAAATTATTTTAAAAATAAATAAATTGCCTAGGCTGGTCTTGTACTTGCAACCCTTATGCTTCAGCTTCTTAAATTGCTGGAATTATAGGCATGCACCACCATGCCCAGTAATCTGACTTCTAATTTAATGGCTGAAGGCCCTCAGAGCAAGTATCCCAAGAGAAACACAAGTTGCATGCCCTTTTTAAACTAGCCTGGCACTTTCACTGCCTTATAGCCAAGGCAGTCATCTTGGCCTGCCCATGCTCCACCTCCTAGCAGAGAATTATCAAAGAGTTTATAGATATGTTTATTTATTTATTTTTTTTAAAGAGAGAGTGAGAGAGGAGAGAGAGAATTTTTAACATTTATTTTTAAGTTCTCGGCGGACACAACATCTTTGTTGGTATGTGGTGCTGAGGATCGAACCTGGGCCGCACGCATGCCAGGCGAGCGCGCTACCACTTGAGCCACATCCCCAGCCCTATAGATATGTTTAAACCACAAGTTTTCACAGAAGGGAGATAATTACCACAAAGTTAACAGAAGTTTACTCTGCATTATAACAGTTTTTATTCTCATTCAAACTGTAGTATGCTTGCCAAGTTTTGTATGAGAATGTATTTTTACAATGAGAGGGAACTGTTTTATTTTTAAAAGGGTACTGTGATCAGTGCATCAACAGAAGCTCACTGGGTTGTGGTGTTCTATCTATTCCTGAAGAAGCTATCCAAGAGTAGGGGTACTAACTAACTAACTGTAGTACTGATAACAAAGATAACCTACCTGGCCAGGATATCACTGGCAACCTTGGTCACCAACTGAGACACCTGCTTTAAATCTGATATGAATTTTTTTTCAATTGTCAATGGACCTTTATTTTATTTATTTATATACAGTGCTGAGAATAGAACTCTGCCTCACACATGCTAGGCAAATGTTCTACCACTGAGTTGCAACCCCAGCCCCTGATATGAATGTTTTATTTTTATTTTCACCCCAACAGTCATTCCAGAAAGCCTTATTTTATTCCAGATGTCATAGCCAGTCACCTGGCCCTAGAGTTTTTCTTGGCCTTGGGATGAAAAGGTTGAGGTCCAGGCACAGATGTGCATGTACATGTGCATACGAAGGTGTAGTCTTACTACATGTGGGTCTGGCTTATAGGAGCTAAATAAAAACAAGAGTGTTGAGGAGTGTATGGAACAGGGCCCAAAATGATGCCATGAATGACAGTTAATAACAGCAGTGTCTTAGGTCTTAGTGGCTACCAGAGGAGACACTGAAGATGTACGCTTTGCACTATAATAGGGAACAGGAGAGGGAAGCTGGTGCCCCTTTGCTGGGCACCTCCTAAAGACAGTTGGTTTAAGCACTCTGTTTTGTTGGACACACTGAATTCTTGGTTGAATATCTTAACTAGTTACCAAATGTCTTAACTAGTTATTCTGCTTTTGGTGTGACTTCACACCTGTAAGACAAAGGACAGACCAGTAATATTTTTTTGGAAATTCAGGCCCACAGAAAGTTACAGACAGGTCTGGAATTCAAGTGTCTTGGTTCCTGAATTTTGATTCCCAACTCTTAAATATTTAAGTCTCTGCTGTTCTCATTTTCATTTAGGATAAGAAAAAGCATTGGGGACACATTTAACTATCAGATGAAGCAAAGAAGGACTGAAATGACAATGTAGCAGAAGGAGGAAAAATTTCATATTTTTAACATCTTCAGATGACATCTCAGGTCACAAAGCCAAGGGTAGTAGAGATATGTTTTAATAAGCCAGGTGCCAGGCTGGGCATGGTGGCCTGTAATCCCAGCTGCTCAGGAAGCAGAGGCAGGAGGATCACAAGTTTGAAGCTAGCCTCAGCAACTTAGGAAGACCCTGTCTCAAAATAAAAAAAGGCTGGGGTTGTAGCTCAGTGACAGAGCACCCCTGGGTTAAATCCCCAGCACCACAAATAATAATATTAATAAGCTAGATGCTTGAAGGATGTGGAGTAGACATGTTCTGGATCAGGGCTCCCTCCCACCCCTCAGGGATCCTCTACACACTACAGTGTGGCCCAGGTTTCAATTCTGCTACCTCCAATGCCAGACTAGCACACCAAGGCCATCCTATAGTAATGCAGTTTGGAAATGCATTAGAAATATATTGTGAGGTGAGAAAAGAGTAAGATAACAGCAGTAATAATGAGAAGCAGAGGGGCATTGTGTCTTTCAGCATTCTGGATGCAGCTAAAGTATTATAAACTGCTCTTGTGGAGGAAGTTAAAAAGAGTCATGTGCAGCTGGGCACAGTGGTGCATGACTGTAGTTCCAGCAAGTCAAAAGACTGAGGCAGGAAGATCACAAGTTCAAGGCCACCCTCAGCAATTTATGAGGCCCTGTCTCAAAATTTAAAAGGATGAGGATGTAGCTCAGTGGTAAAGGGCCCCTAGTTTCAGTTCCCAATACCAAAAATATTAATGATGATGATAATCAATCAGAAAATAATAACAAAAAAAGTGGAAGCAGCATGAGGAAACTGCTAAGAGTAATGAATGTATTAGTTATCTTAATTATGATAACAGTGTTACCAGTGCATAAATGTGCTGAAATGTATCAAACTATATACTTTAAATATGTGTAGTTTATGAATTGTTCATACTTATACTTCAATCAAACTTTCTTTTTTTTATCTTTTTTTTTCAGAGTTTTTTAATATTTATTTTTTTAGTTTTCGGCAGACACCACATCTTTCTTTGTACGTGGTGCTGAGGATTGAACCTGGGCCGCATGCATGCCAGGCGAGCGCGCTACCACTTGAGCCACATCCCCAGCCCTCAAACTTTCTTTTTGAAAAAAAAAAAAAATGCAGTGGGCAGTATAGAAAGCTAATTCAGGCTGGTTAGAGACAACTTCCTGAGGTTATATTTGAGCTGAACACCAAAAAGGTACTGGCCAGGCTGGGGTTGTGGCTCAGCGGCAGAGCACTTGCCTCGCACATAGTGAGGCACTGGGTTGGATCCTCAGCACCACATAAAAATAAACAAAATAAAGATATTGTGTCCATGTATAACTAGAAAAATATTTTTAAAAAAGAAGGTGCTGGCCATGCCCAGCTCTGAGGGCAGAGCAGACTTGTGCTAGTGCAGGAAGCAAGACCAGTGTGCCTGGAGCACAATGAGCCAGGGAGAGCCTGGGGCCAAGTGGGGCCTTCAAAGCCCCACATCAGTCAGTGCAGCAGGGAAGCCACCAGCTGAGCTTCTCTTCCATCTCTCTTTAGACCCAGAAGAGCCACTCAGCATTCCAGTCTATATCCTGAGGAAAGGGCTCCTCATTTCCCGCCCCCCCCCTTCAGAAAGCTGCTAGGAGCAAAGTGTAAAGAGAATGAGAGTGACAATGTGACTGGGCCAGTTCAGCTTGTATGTTCCTTATGTTCTCTTCCACTGCAGCTTTTCCTTCCCTCCATGAGAAAGAAGCCAGCTCTGGCTGACGGCAGCAACCCTGAAGGCGATCTCCTCCAGGAGCACTGGCTGGTGGATGACATGTTCATCTTTGAGAATGTGGGCTTCACCAAGGATGTGGGCAACATCAAGTTTCTGGTCTGCGCAGACTGTGAAATTGGACCCATTGGCTGGCATTGCCTCGATGACAAGAACAGTTTCTATGTGGCCTTGGAACGGGTTTCCCATGAATAACTGAGGGGATGGGGACTCAGATCCACCCCAACTATAAAAGCTCTCCCCACAAGAACTGGCGTTGGACCTTTGTAACTCCTGTGCTGCCTTCTCTGTACTAATACAAGTGACGAGCACCAACACCTCCACTGGAGCACGCACAGGGCCAGGCCTCCTTCCTCCGCGCCCCCTGCATGCCTCAGGCCAGGTCCACGTGCATAACGTGTCCTGATCCCTTTTCCCCTTGTTTTAAGATACTGTCATACCTCCACAAATCTAGTCTCATCCCTGGCGCTCTGCCGAGGCTGTCTTTTACCCAGGACTTGCTTTTGTTTTTTTCTTGCTCTAGAAGAGCAGAATTCAACTTTTTAGCCATGACATATGACAAAAGATGCTCATGTGCTGATAGTTAAAACTCCATCTTTTTCTCATTCAGGAAAGCATATTTGGGGGCTGGGGACATAGCTTAGTAGGTAGAGTGCTTGCCTCGCATGCACAAGGCCAGTGGTTCAATCCCCAGCACCACAAAAAAAAAAGAAAAAAGAAAGCATACGCATGCTGGGCACAGATTACGACTGTAATCCCAACATCTCGGGAGGCTGAGATAGGAGGATCAAGGGTTCAAAGCCAGCCTCATCAATGGTGAGGCACTAAGCAACTCAGTGAGACCCTGTCTCTAAATAAAATTCAAAATAGGGCTGGGCATGTGACTCAGTGGTTGTGTGTCCTTGAGTTCAATCTCTAGTACCCCTTCCAAAAAAAAAAGGCATACACATATCTGAGACATACTGCTTTGTGGCTAACCTTGTTATCTACATTAATTTATTATTTCTAAAAGTAAAACATATACAGACTTCAGTATTTAAATCACTAATGAGAAACACATTACTTTGGGTACATCTCTAATATCATGTTTGAGAATCTTTGCTCTGGGTGGACACTGGTGTTTTATTGCAAAGATGGATGTGGCCCCTCTTTCCTTCAAAAGTTAATGTGGTTTCTCCTTTTATTGGCTCCTCATGCCTACAGCCTGTATATTAGCCTCAGACTGTCTGCCCCATCTGAGCCACCCAAGGGAAACAAGCTTGACAGTTAACCAGCCTCTCCTGGAGACTGGAGGATATGGGATATATGAGGGAAAGGCCTTTGCCTATCTCCTCTGGACAGGTAACTTTATTACCTTGTTCTTAGGACAGACTTCTGTAATAGATAGCATCATGATTTATCGGACATGCTCAGTGTGTTCCTCAGAGTTTTGATTCAAATGAATCTCCCTACCAGTCCAGAATACAGATTTTTCCCACCAATATGCCTCTTCTATTGCTTTGGGGTTGTTGTGTTTGATACTAGCAAGCTTAAGTATTCACCATGATTTGCAAGTATTCTGCCCTTTCTTTTCTGAAATGACTTACTTTCTCGGAAGGGATCTGTATGACTAAATATTAGGTGTCCTCCGAGTGACCCCCACCTCCAGAGGCCTAACATTGAAATTAGGAATAAGTCCCTTCCTTTGCATCTGTTGCTTCTTTCTCCCTTCATTCCAGAACTTTCTAAGGACTTCCCCACTAAAGTACAGGCCTTGAGCATAGTTTTGCAACTAACCTATTTGCTTAAAAAGGTGGCTTCCTTCCCCATTCAGCTTGAATGAGCTCTAGTAGAAACAGAGAACTTTTCCTGACATATGGCCAAATGTCCATTATTATGAGATTTCATGAACAAATGAGAATTACCCACTCATGTCAGAAGAACAAAACCAAGTAATTGCCCCTAGGGACATGGGGCCGTTCACATCA